TTATTGATTGGTCCTGAAATATTATCCACTTTCTCTCTACAGCAGTCTGTTTTTCAAATGGAGATTTTTGTTCTATAGGAATTCCAGTAACTTTTTTCTCTACTGTTAATTTGCTCATTAAGACCTTACAGCCTTTTCCCTTGGGGAAAAATAATGGGTTCGCTAAGTGCTTATACCAGTGGCTGTTGCTTTCATAACAGAGCTTCCGTGAAAGCCCCGCACTCCTTTTCCTGTTGTCAGTTATTGTCGCTCTGTGTGTACAGTAATCCTATATTGTAAGCCTGCAGAGATGGATAGCTAGAAAATTTCCTCTAGAAAAAAAGAGCTAGTGAGGAATGGTCCAAACTGGTTAGCAAGGATCCACTATAATATGTAATCAAGAAGGAAACTAATTCTTGGGCACAGCTGAGCCCTGAAATGGAAACTTTGCAAGCAGTCTATGACTGGAGGCTAACTTTGATGCAGAAAAGATGAAAATATACTTTTTAGTGACATGACAGGGAGACAATGTAATCTGTAATGACTTCCAGGATATCAGTCAACATTAAGGTCACCAGCCTAGAACCTAAAGTGGAAAACATGCTTTTGATCGAAGGGTTAGCCTTCATATTAGCTAGTAGACATGCTTAAGCAATGCTTAGGCAACCTGACTTTAAAACAATAAATGAAGGGTCCAAGGCCCTACTCGGGGCCTTTCAGAGCTGCCACTCCACCCTTGGCCAGATTTAACTTTTTCTTACGATAAAGTAATGTTTGAATTCAGTAGTTGAATCCAGTCATTTCATTAATTTCCCTTTCTGTATAACTGGAAAATTACAAACTTGTCATAGCTATACGGGTTGCAGGATCTGGGTCAGCCCCAGGATACAGTGGCTAAAGAAATTTAATTTAAACCCCAAATGCAAACCTTTAGTGTTGACCACTTTTCTTTGCCTGCTGCAAACTGCCCTGCCCATGGGGACGCAATCGTTCTTCCTGCCCATCTAAATATTTTCATTTGCCAGGACCTCTCATGAGAACCTCCCAGACCGATGGAAGTCCATCCCACCGTGCCGTCTCAGCCCTACCTCAAAATGTCTGTTTAGCTACAGTCACCACCCTCACTACCACACCCATCAACAAATGTCAGTACTCAACCTGTACAAGTCCAAACTCAAAGAAGTGATTATTGTACATTATTTTGTCCAACGTAGTTTCAGTATATTATGTGTTAGGTAGCGACACCTTCTGGTGAAGTTTCGCATTAGCATGTTGACTACACCAGGCTCTGTGAGCACACTGCAATCAAAATAAAAAAGAATGAAGGAAAAAAGAGGAGAGGATGAAGGGAGGAAAATGTTGGTAACTTTGCTCTGCTAGCAGAGAAATCCTCACACATATAGGGGCTTTGTTTTAGGAAAGGAGAAAAAGACAGATCTTTCAAAAAGTTTTGCTGGATAAATAGAAAAATGGGCCAGGAGCTGGAAGGGAAGTGGTATCAAAAAAGAATCTTCTTAAACAGAAGGGGAAAAAAACAGCACTTTGGTAGGCTGATAGGAATAACCCAGTAGAAAGAGGAAGGACAATGATGCCGGTGACCAAAAGGAGGATTTCCGGAAGAACGTCCCCTAGAGGTGAGAAGGCCGGGATCCAGTGTGAGGAAAAGAACTGGCTCCAGGAGGGAGCACAGACTGCTTGTCACGTGGTTGCAGGAGGGAAAAGCAGAGAATCAGAGCATGGACGCAGCCAATGAGCAGATGCAATACTGGATATTCTTAAAGTTTTCTTCTGGCTCCTCTTGTCCTCAATAAAATTTGAGGCAAGGTCATCTGTTGACAGTAAGAATTGGCAAGAAATGAAGGAAATCTGAGAAAAGTTGTGTGCAGTTCTCCAAGAGAATGTGAAACTCAATGGACCAGGGAAATGTAGTGTAATATTATTTAAGGATCATAAATTTAAAGGGAGTCCTGTTGGTGGGAATTTTTCTCCAGCCATGTTCAGCTACCACGGTGCTGGTGTGGAGTAGGCAAAGGGTTGAGTTTAACCATGTGTGTGGTTTTGCCTATCAAGGACAATAATTGAGGGGTCAGGGAGTTGAGGGCTTATCATTCTAAAAAAGCCAGGCAATATTAATATTCTCTCCCATGGATGCCCATGTTTTTAATTGGTTCCATTTTTATTTATTTATTCATGGACAAATTGAAAGGTTCTGGGGATGCTAACTAAAATACACTTTATGCCTAAATCATTTCCTTTCTGTTCTTTTGGTTTTCATTCAGAAAATAATTTTTATCTTTTCACTTAAGATATTATCTTTAATAAGATGGCTGTGTCCAAAGCCTCTGATACTAGATACTGCAGAAGGGAGTAGAAATTTAAAAGGGAGTTTGCAGTAATGTAGGTGCACAGGAAATATGAAGCTATTTTTCATGGTCTAATGGTTTTTTAAATGAATCTCACTTATATATTGTAAAAATAAATTATTATTTCCATAGGCTTTTTTCATTAATTTACTTAATGAATATGTATTGCATATTTGTCATGTACAAAACATTGTGCTAGGCAAGCACCAAGAAGGCTTGGGAGAGGGCAGGATTACCATAATGAGGTATTTGTGGTTTAAAAGTGGTGTTTGCAAATACAAAGATACAGCCTAAAGGGGTAAACTCCTGTGCAAGTACTACAACACAAGTTCCATGACATTTATTCATCTAATTTACCATGATATACCTACCATACTGGGCCTGAAACATAGCAGGCATGTAATAAACATGGTGAATCAGTAAAAAGAGATAGAAGGCACACTAGAGGAGCAGGATGGAGCTGAATGAATTTTGAACGTGATATCTGAGGATGCTTAGAAGAGAAGAGAAGGCTTAGAAGCTGGCCTTTGAAGGAAAAGTAGGAGCCCAACAAATAAGGAAGGACAAGTAGAGCCCTCGAGTATGAAATAACAAAGAAGCACGAGACGAGAGGAGCACTGCAGCAAAGCACAGGATGACTTAGGGCATGCACAGTCTCGTCTGTGGACAGAGGAGCAGTATCAGGAAACAGTGTATTAGAGAGGGAGAAAGATGCCAGGAAGTGAACGGATGGATTATCAGATAAAGGAGTTCTTATTGAGCACTTACACTGTGCCTAACACAGTTTTAAGTGCTGCACATACAACTAACTCATTTAATATCACAGGAACCTGTTAGGCATCTTTATCCTCCATTATACAGGTGAGGAGACTGGGCACAGAGAGATCAAGTACATCCAAATTATATAGCTAGCAAGTCACAAAGCCAGTGCCCCAGGTAACATTGGCACTATTAAAACACTTTCAATATTTGCATGTCCTATGATTTGTGTTGCTACTACTTTTTTCACAATTAATATACAAATTTAAGTTAAATTTAGAAAGTAATCTCCATGAGTATTAGCTGTTTATCTATATTTAGAAGTTCTTGTGGGAGGGGGGACTGGATTGGGAGTAAAAAGGAGAAAACTATATTTGAACAATGATTAAATAAATAAATAAATAAATAAATAAATAAAATAAATAAAGAAGTTCTGAATAGTCAAATGCATTAATTTCCATTTTTATCTTTTCCTCATTCAATGATATTACTATTTCTCAAAACTATTGGCTTATGAATAGTTTTCCTGATGATTAATCTACAATATAATAGAATACCATTGCATTTATTTTTGTTCAAATTTATAATCTATTTAACTAAAATTTTCTAATATTTTTGACCTCTGAAAAAGATAGGATTTCGTTTTGTTTTGTTTTGTTTTTCTGAAATCACTTTGCCTTCTCTTCCCTTTCTAACTTGAACTTCACCCAGAGATAATTGTTGATGGCAGCCAACTCACCACCATACAGGTTATACTCATGTTTTGTTATCATCTTAGAGAAATATTGCTGCCTCAAATTTTTCCCAGTCTTCTATTAAATATGCTCCCTTTCAATGGTATGTCTTTCAACTACCAGTTCATTCCCTTTAAACTTTTAGCTCTTAAATCAATGCTTATAGTCCCAAGAAGCCATAATGAGCGGTCCCAACTGTTCATTGAGAATTCCTTTCTTAAACACTGTAATGGATGAAAGGACAGGGATCTAGTGAGAGAGGAGGACTCAAGGTCTGACCACGCCTCTAACATGCCCTATGCCTCCAACCCTCAGGACCCTACCGTGTGTTAAATTGGGAAAACAGTCCCTATTTTACCTGTATAGCAGAGGTTCTATGAGAATGATATAAGATAATACATATGGAATAATTCAAAATAAGAAACTGTTCACTGAATGTAAGTGATTAGTCTAGTGACTTAAAAGTGAAGTCTAGACCTAACCCTGACAGACACAGCAAAACCAGCAGGAAGAAATGGCTTGGGGGATTAAATTCTCCACCAGTCTCCTCTCTTTGCCTGCCCCTTCATTTTTCCTCTCACTACCCTGCATAAAATAAGAAGCTTGCTCTGTAAATGCAACTCTAAGATATGTTAAGGCCCTAACTCACTTTCAACCTGATTGACACCCTCTGAGCTCCACCCATATGGAAATCTTAGGACTGCCACTAATAGGCAAGAAGGTTGTTTTGCTACCATTTCACACCCCTAGGTTTTTAGAAGCACTCCACTTCATCATCAAGAGTATACCTCTGGGTACCACAATGCTATATCATTCCTCACTTGAATTATAATGTTCACCAAAAGATTTATCTCTCGGGAGGCTTGAGTGCTAAGTGGGGAGTGGTTTTTAGAGAGATGTGTGGGAAATGGTTTCAATATTTGGCAGTTCCTAAAGGTAGGATGATTTGAGATGTTGGGGTTTGATTTTTTAATACTTGATCAGCTCATAATATTCACTTACTTCTGAAAATGCCTTGTCATTGGAATATTACATTTGGCAGTTGTACTGAAGTAGAATTTTTATAAACCAGAGGATTATAATTTTTAGTTTATTCCATTCACTTGTTTCATATATATCACATAAATGTATATATTCACTAGGAAATCAATCTTTTCTTTTATAGATCTCTCCATTAAAATGGACCACTCTGAAACTAAAGACATAGGCAATGCCCCAAGAATTGAAACAACTGAAAATACTGCAAAAATGTACAAACTGTCAACCATGAGATGAATACTCAATGTGACAAAGCATCACACAAAAAGATCAGCATTTTTCCCAGCTGGGGTTAAAGTTTGTCCCCAGGAATCCATGAAGCAGATTTTAGCCAGTCTTCAAGCATACTACAGATTGAGAGGTAAGAAAAGAGATGAAACCTGTTTAACCTTTCATTCTTTTCACCCCTGCCTTTTTCTTCATCTATAGGTCACACTCAACCCAAAACTCCCAGTCTCTCATTTAGTCACAAGAGTTATAAAAATCAGCCAGCTAATCTGAGGTTAATGAAAAATAAACATTCAAAACAATGACAGGTATTTGCTCTTATGCTTTATAATGATGTCTTGTATAATACAGAACCATTAGAGCATTTGACAAGTCATCAGGAAAGTCTTGGCATCTGAGTTTTCTCTCTTTTACTTTTGCCAAAGTCCAATATTGAATTTTAATGTTGTTATTATGAAACACAGGATGAGTGCGACATCAGGAATCTAAACAAGTTGATTTATGACTTAAGATTTTATTTTTCAAAAGCAACATTACAATCCAGATACTCTCTCCCTCCTTGATAAGCTGAAGTTGTTTATTGCTGACTTGGCAAAAACTTCTGAAGCTTAGAAACCTGGATACACATCCAAGTGCAGAGGAATCACAAATTAACAGGGTTACCAAGATACAATGCAGGGTGTTAATGGGATTTATAGCACAATTACTGTGATTTCCAGCGGTGTTAGAGTGCAGTTTTACCCCAGAACAGCATCCCAGAATTCTTACAGCATTCCTGGGAGTTATTACAGAGTTCAATTATACCACAACCATCAGTGGCTGTCCTTGTCATTCACTTACCATAGATGAAAGAATTTTTGTGGATTATTCTTTAAAGGAAAAAAAAAGAATCTTTAGTAGCTATTATTTAATTCCCCAGACAGCTCCAAATAATGCAAACCGTCTTGTCTAGCTGAAGCCTAAACCCAATCCATCTTACATGTGAAAGTTGAGGAGGTTTAGTGATTTCTAGCTTGATCATACTAGATGTTTGCTTTCATTCCAAAAACCACAGTCATACTGATCTATTTCAAGCTCATTGTCTAGAGCAAACTGGTTCAATTCTAGTCTGTAATGTGTTTGTTGCACATTATGACATCTGAAAAGCATTTCATGATACATCCCCAAAAATTCTTGAGTATTTACATCTGGAATATGTGCAAGGGCTGAACTAATCTGAGGAGTTCTTACTGGGTTTTGGAGACATAATTAATTAACAGTATCAAAGATATCAAACCTATGTTCCTCGTATGTCTCATTTTATGCAGATTTTATGTAGAAGTAAAGAGATATTGGCTTTCCGACAGAAGCCACACCACAGAGAAGTGACAAGAACTGTATCCTAGTCAAAAGAAAGACTCTAATAGTAGAAAATCAAGTGCAATATATTAATATTCTGAGATCCTAGTACAGTACCTGTGCATAACTGCTTCTCACTAAATGCTTTTTGATGAACACAGGAAGCAAACAGGCCATTGGGAATGCAAAGAAAATAGAGTGCCATATGTAAATAATTTATTTTGAGTGTGCCTACATGTTGATGTGACAATGGCATGAGTAAATTCTCTCTCATTTGTTCACGGATGGAAGTATGAACATTTAGTATACGCATCACATCAAATATGAACACGACTATTGCTAATCCTTCTCATGTAACTTCTAATCCTTTATGGCATTCACAAATAGGATTCATTGAAAGTATTTAGAGAAAAGAAAATTTATTGCTGCAACCAGATTTTTAGCCCTGAATTTTATTATTAGCTCTTTATTTTTTATTAGCTTTGCCTCTTTCATTCTTGCTTCCCTGGATGAATCAAACAACCGTTTTCTCCCCACGGCAATGACAGTCCATTATCTTTATGGCTGCCCCTGAGTGATATGAAATTTTACTATTCATCAACATGGATTTCTCAAGCCTAACAAATTCAGTTCATAAAGAAACTAGAAATAAGACCCAGCTATAAAGCAAAGTTCCTTTGACAGAGTAATCGTAGCTTATTTTACAAACTTATCTGTTGACATCCTTCAAACCTAGGGGAGAAAGTTCCTACATTCCTCAAATCAAATTGAGCTATTTCTTTTCCCAGTGCTTAAAGCAACAGAAGTGAAAATGTTCTGAGCTTCGTGGTTGGACCATAAACATGCTCACCACACAGCACAGACACAGAACAGGCAGGTTTGTTTCTGCTAGTGTCCCCTGCGCTCTTACCCAGGGAAACATCCTCTTTCGTGACTGCCTGCCTTCAAACCTTTGGCCCCCATGTCTCTGCCTCTGTTTCCTTTCCTCCCTTCTTCTGCGTCCCTCCTTCTCTCTTTCTCCCAATCCCAATAACAAAAGCTAGAGCTTTCTTTCACATTAATGCGTGGCTTAGAAAAAGTTAAAGATGGAGGGAGTCCTAATTCTTGCTGCTCCGAATGTTGTCCACAGCCTGGCAGTATCGCCATCACCAGCCAGGTGACTTGTTAGAAGTGCAGATTCTTAGATCCCACACCAGACCTACTTTCAGAATCTGCATTTTAATAACACCCTCAGGTAATCCACGTGCAGTTTCACATTCTAGAAATACTGGTCTGAACAACATCTATCTAACACTGCCATTGCACAGATAAGAAGTGAGGTGACATATTCTGTCAAGGCCACTGCTGATGGCAGAGCACTTAGAAGCCACACCTGACTCCCACATCAGTGCATTATCTCTCCATCTAATGGGTGCCCACCCCTGTGGCAGGCATTTCACATACCGTCGGTCTGCCTTAATCCTCCCACATACTGGGTTCACCAAAAAGTTTATTATTTTTTATAAAGTGGCTCTAGTAGCACTTAGTTGTCTCAAATTCCATTCAAAACAATTTTGTTAGGTTGTATTGTGACAGCTGACATTTCAGTGCACACTTTTTAAAAATTTATCAAAATTGGTGCATTTTTGTGTAGCCATTTTAATATTGAAGATGGAAGAAAATACAAATCATTTTTGGGGTATTATGCTTTACTATTTCAAGAAAGGTAAAAACACAACTGAAATGCAAAAAAGATTTGTGCATTGTGTGGAGAAAGTTCTGTGACCAATTGATGTCTAAAGTGGTTTGCAAAGTTTCGTGCTGGAGATTTTTAACTGGTCAGGTAGACCAATTGAGTTGATAGCAATCAAATTGAGACATTAATTGAGAACATCAATGTTATACTATTCAGCAAATAGCTAACATACTCAAAATATCCAAATCAATAAAGTCATTGGTGAAAATGAAAATGTGTCTTATTACTTTATAGAAAAAACTAAGTGAACTTTTTGGCCAGCCCCATGTTAAGCACTGTCCTGGGGCATGCCTGGTCCCCAGGGCGTGTGTTCCCCAGGGCTCTGCCTACATCTTCGAACAGCAGAAAGGGTATGACTGTCAGCAGACAAGCTGTGGCTCTATGGTCAGATTTCAGACAGGGGCTAGCAACTGTGGGAAGACTGGTAGGCAAAGCTCTGGATTTCTCCCCTGTCACAATCCTTCCCAGTAGATTGAGAGAAGAACGGAGCAGAACAGGTAAGTCAAGGGAGTAGAAAATTCCAACTTTCAGAATTTTTTAGACTCCTCCCAGTCCAAAAAGCTTTTGATGCCACAAGTTTCAAGGGTCCTTTTGATGCTCTCCTGGTAAGGATGAGGGGCTTTCCTGACAGGTCATATGCTGGTGCTCTTGTTCTCCAATCATAGGACTCTGTGCCTCCAGGAGGCCAAAAAAATGACATCACCAAAAAAATTGGCTTTCAAAAAGAATCTAAACAAAAGCTACTAATGCCTGTTTCATCCTGACATTTTGATCCCTATAAACGACAATCCTCCAGGGAAATAATTCTTCAAGCAGCTTCAGACATTTGTGCCTTGGGGAGAAAGTTCTCTGAGACTTTGTGAAAAGTAGGTTTTAACGGGGATGGGGGCATTCTGTGTCCCTAAGTAGAAAAACGGCAGAAGGCCAAGGAGCAGAGCTAGGAAGGTTCTGGCACCAAAACAAGCCTTAAATTGGACTAAAACAAAAGGAAGTCCATCTGAAACCAAAAGCAATGCAGGCGAGAGTGCATTGAACTGTTAAATGAAGAATTATCAAGTTTATGTCCTCCCAGATGTTTTACTCATGGATATTGTTAGTGAAAGTCACCAACACTAAGCACTCAAAGGCAGAGCTCACTTATTTTATATATTGCTGTGTATGTGTCACTTAAATAGGTTTTTAAACTAAACTAGAAGGTTCATTAAGGAAAGCTAGAAAGGCAAAATAATATCCCCCAAGAGAGTATAGAGTATGTAGGCAAGAAGGAGAGCAAGAGCGGCTGGTTTGCTTGGACTGAACCCACAACTCATCAGAGTTTAAACAAATGTTATTTCCTTCTTGCATGGTATGTAGACTCTTGACTGGAGATGAAGATCAAAAGCCTTCATGATGACTGGTATCAGGAAAGGCATTAAAACTCTCTGATCCTTGCCTAGAGGAAAAGAGATCATGATCACAATCATGGGCTCTCCAGTGAGAGGTTATCTTGCTGGTCTCCAGGTGTGCTGACCTCTGCTCCCCAGATGTGGAGCACTAACTGCCCATTTGAAGTGGTGGGGACTGTGCCCTCTGCTGGCTCTGGCGTTCTGCTCAGGTTGCTGCTGATAAATAACCTGAGCTTCTCTTGGTCTGGAATTCTCTTTGCCTCTTACAACAGAAAGATAAAAGAAATCCAGACATAGAGTAACCGGGGAGCAAGGGAGAACGAAGCACAGGAGTAAGGGTCCTTAAACCAGTCTTCTCTCACCTTGGTCCTCCCCACAACCCCTTTCTTAGCACAGTGGTCAAACAGTTGCTTTAGAAAATCGAGTGATGTCAGCTTCTCCTTGTCCAAAACCTCCAATTGTTCCCCATTCCTCGAGAGGTTAAAAAAAATCAACATATTATAATTGCTTACAACAGAAGTCATCTAAATTTTTTTCATTTAGTCTCCCAAAATAATTTTTAAACTATGCATGCCTTTGCATACTTATCAATTGACATCTAAAGTTTTATTTTAAGTTTAAATACTTGGATAAGATGTTAACTTTTTGTGAGTTGTAAATATTGATATTGAAAATAAAACAAGAATTAGAGCAGTCATATGGATCCGGTGGAATCTACCACAGCCACTCAATATTTTCCGTCCAATACGTTAAACAAATAACGAAGGAACTCTTAACAGTAGGAAACGTCACATGGTTCCTCTCTCCATACATCCACATTTCCATTCTGCTTCCCACTTCAGAGTCTTATCTTAATGGAATTTATTTGAAGCCTGAAAGTCTGTTATTGGTTGCTCTAAAATATGTCTCAGCAACAAAAATATGTACATAAATTGAAATTATATTTTTATTTCTTTCCTGTTACCTTATGTGTTCAGAGAAATTTCTTCCAGATTCAGTTGCATTTATAATTACTTTTAATATATAATTGATTAAAACAAGTAGATATAAATTTGACAAATAATTTAAGTCATTATCAACAGATAGATATAAGACCAGATACAGGTTTCATGGGTACTAATGTTTATAAACACAAAATTAGGAACAAGGCTTTGGAAGAGGCCAGTTTAAATGAAGTTCTCAAGCTTAAGCTGCATTAGCTCCTGCCTCTGGATGGACAGGGTTGCTTTGTCATGTACCATTGCTTACTATTCATATTATTTATTGCTATAATAAGACAGGATTTAACATCAATTTTATACTTACTCTTTTACCTAGTTTCACTTACATGCTGAGCAAACTTGTTACATGAATAAGTAGATGAGAACAGAGGGAGTTTTGTTATAGTAACATCCTTATTCTTTAAGTTCCCTTTGCATTATATGCTAACAATCACATCATAAGTTGTCATCATTATTTTTAATGATCTATCAGCTGTCTACTCTATTAGGACTCCTAATGTGTTAAAAGCAAAGAAGCAGAAAGACCCCTAATTACAAAAATCCACCCTAAATTCACTTGCTTTTTTAACCTCAAGACTATTGTTTCAAATCATCCCTTTGTGTGGCAGCCTAAGAGAACTGCGCCACTGCAGGATTAGGGATGAACGGAAGGGGAAGAATGATGATCAAAGGAAAGGTGAAGAAGGAAAGTTGTGCCCTTAGGTTAACCAATGTTAGAAAAACATGATAGCAAAACTGGGGTCTAGAAACTGATTCTATTTAAACTGTGTGTGTGCCTGTCTATCCCTTGGAAAGTGTTTCAATACAGCGAGTGCCTGTGCCCAGTTCAAAGACTACTGGTCAACGAGGCCCTACCTTCTCTGTGTCCCTCTCTCCACAGCTTCATCCCGTTACTCTCACCTTCGCTCTGGCCACACTGACCTCCTTGTTCCTCCTTCAACCTTGTAGCATTCTCTAATTTTGGGGTCTTTTCTCAGACTGCTCAAAAATCAACTTTATAATGAAGCTTTCTTCAACCACCCTATTTTAAATTTCAGTCTTACACACACACACACACACACACACACATACTCTTTCTCTCTCATATTCCCTATCTTCCTTCTTTTCTTTTTCCCCACAGCGCATATAGGCACTCAATAAATAGTTGCTAAAATAATTAATTTCTATGGGCCATAAGTTAATGTGTCAGCAGCATGAGCCATGAAAGAGTTTTCCATGTTATAAGTTTCCATGTTCCAAGTTGTGCTTGTGTTAGGAAAAGGGGATCTTCCAGTCTAATGGTGCTGCATTGCAGTGTGTCAGGAAGCAGTGTGGGAAGCATATCGGATCTTTCTGGATCGCATCCCTGACACAGGGGAATACCAGGACTGGGTCAGCCTCTGCCAGCAGGAGACTTTCTGCTTCTTTGACATTGGGAAAAATTTCAGCACCTCCCAGGAACACCTAGATCTTCTTCAGCAGGTGAGCCTAAACACTGTATGTTTGGCACACTGCCCTAATAGCCCCCAGACCTCCTGTCCCCGCCCCTTTTGGACTTGGTTTCCAAAGCATAAGGGTTGGTTGAAGAAATGCTTGGAAATATCTGATAAGGACCACAGGAATTTTATTCTTGCAAAATAGCATTGTACATGAGGGTTGAGGTGAAGTTAAAGGGAAAGGGGAATGAAAATGGACTTGAGTTCTTCAATTGACATTATCTCTTGGTAAAATTACTTTTCTATTTCTGCAGAGAATAAAACAGAGTAACTTCCGTGAGAGGTAAGTACCCAAAATAAAGTGATGCGTGCTCTTGATTTTTGAACGATAACATAATGGAGTGAGACTCAGCTATTGTACCTTGATAATACTGTGCCAGCCACTGAGATCTGTGTAGGTTATTCTGATGGAAAAATTATACTTATATTGTGCTAAACATAAATGAATATATAAAAGGGAAATGGTTAGACCTTATAGACTGAGATACATATTTTTACTATGTTATCAGATAAAAGTATATGATAAGTATCTAATGTGTATTTTTACTTACAAGGTAAAGAGCTATTAAAATAGTATGATCTTTAGAATTTATAGTAAATTATTAGTTACATCAGGAAAATATTTAATACAACAAACAAGCAAGCTGAATTCTTGTTTGGTATTCCATAAAAATGTTAATATTTCTCGTACTAAGTTACTGAAGTACTCAGCTATACACTCAATGAGAACTGAATATCAAACAAGGAAATCAAACTGTTAAAGAAAAGGAAAAGGAAAAGTACATTAGACAAAATGATTAAAGAAGAGAGATGTCATTGCCAAAGTATAACCTCACAAATTACATACATTTTATAACAATTAGAAGTAAAAATCTGAAGATAATAATAATACAAGAAGAGACATAAATTTGGCTGTATGAATTACTTGCAATTCTTTTTAATGCTTTTTACATTTGCTCCTTTATTTCCATTCCCTTTGCCAACAATTTGGTTCAGAACCTTATTAATTTACATTGTGAAAAAAATGTCAAATCTGAGCCCCCTAATAGATAGCACTGACTCTAACCTCTTTCCCACCTTAACTTTTATAATTGCTGTAGTATTAATATGTCTGACATATTCCTTTTTTACACTGAACCTTGTTCAATGCCTTTCAAAAGACACCTCCCCTTCCTCTTGCCCTTCTGAATCTCCGCTCCCTGTACTTCCTCAGGCACTCTGTACAGAAGCCGGGGCAGAGACTGAAGCCCTGGCACTGTGTCCTCTGACTTCCAGGTAGGGGTAGCCAGTGGGGAGCAGAATATCAGAAGGAGGGGGGAGATTGGAATGAGGTAAACAAAAGTATCACCTTCCCTTACCCCCAACTTCCAAGTCTTCAAGGGCTGCCAGTGCCCTTCGACTTCAGCTCAGTTCCTATCAGGCAGCCCTCTCCACAGGGCCTTCTCTGTCTCTAAGTTGTGGTAACTGCTCCATCCTCTTACCCTTCCTGGCCGAGGGGTGCTCTGTTAACAGCCATGGGTTTCTACACACTCACTTGTTGCTGTTCTTAGACCCTTCCCACAACCTAGTAAATAATCCCTCTAGTAACTTTACTCAAAGTTTGAGTGAGCCATCAGTGTGTTGCGAGGACCTTCACCAAGGCAGAGCCCAAACTAATTAGTCAAGGCCCTCAGCCCCTGAACTTTCCACCTTTGCCATTCATTACCCTGATCTCACTGCTGCCACCATGCCACTTCTTCAGGGCACACACCCTACTCATCCCAGACTCTGGCCCCAAGCATTTTCATCTTGTCTGCAAGCCCCTGCCTTCTCCACTCCATCTCCAAATCCCACTCTCCTTTCAAGCTCCAAATAGAGTCCCACCTCCCCAATAGGTCTAAACCACCTATCTGAGTCTGCAGTATCTGTCCCTGCTTTGGATTGTGTGTTCTGTTTGTCACTTACATTTTTAACATCTCTCTTTACCCTGTTTCCCTGTGGGAGTGAACATCCCCAGGGCAGGAACTGTTTTCTATTTCTCTACGAACTGCTGCAGAGCTGAGCAAAGTCCTCATTTATTTATAATATATAACAGTCCTCAATATGTCTATCTAGCTATACTTTTATGAATTTTTGAAAGTTATTGCCAGAAGCAATAAGGTGACTTAGCGAAATGTTAGTACTAGATACAGTGTTAACATCGTTCACAAGACACGGAGTCACTGACTCCTGTGATTTAAGTGCAGGACAATGCTTACTGACTCCTACACTTTCCAAAAAGAAAATGAAAAATAAAGCAGAGGCCATTCATAAGAAAAAAACCAACAGAATGTACCAAGTCTTGATAGAAAGACATTAAAAATTACAGGAAACAATTATTCAAGCCAGAAAAAGAAAGGAATAGAACCATTCCATCTTCTGTGCCTGTCAGCATTGCTAGGGAGAAAGAAGGAACAAGAGACAAACATTTTACATTATCTATGGTTACCAAGTTGTTGTTTTTTTTTTAAGACAGAAAGAGAAGAAGAAGAAACCCTTTTATTTCCAACCTCTCCAAGAAGACAAAACAGAAAATTTTCTCACCTGACGAGCTCACCAATCTGCCCGTTCCAAATGACAGTTAAAATAAAGCCCAGTTTCCTACACTGCAGCTCCTCAGCGATGGTCTGTGAGTGCAGTGGCAGAATCACACCTGCACGGAGTGGGCTGTCAACTTGCAGCTAATGCAGTAGCCAACATTTTAGTGCCTACTCTTCTTGGTAGCTTATTTTTTACAACAAGGTAGAACAAGGATATCAAAGTTACAACAGAGAAAAGGAGACCTTACTGTAAACAAAGATTTATAAAAGAAAAAAAGTCTAAATGACAAATGCTATAATGTTAATATAATGAGAGGTTTACTAAATATTACCTCCATAAAAACTACTAAACACATAGCACAATACCAGCAAAACAAGCAAGAATAGCAAATTCCAAATTCCACTGTAAAGTCTGAGTTTAAGTTAGCCTGTGTACACCAATGTGGTCATTTATGTTTACAACTAACATCCATTCTGATTGGTTAGAACCCAGGCCAGGCTGATTGATAGATTTTGTGCATTTCCCCTATTAGCACTTTGACAGAACTGAATGTAGCAAAAACATTCAGTTCTGGGTCTGGCCAATCTGTAAGAATCTACAACAACAGAGCACTGAGCAATTCCTTTGGTCTTCCATCATCAAGAGCCACGGAAAACTGGGTAAAATATATCAGTCAACCATGACTATTTTACACAAACACACATACAATCCTTTGAGACCTAACAATTTATGGTAACAAATCTTATAGTGAGGTTCAAAAAATATCACTACTAACCTTCCTTTATAAATAAAGCTTGCTAGAATGGCCAACATTATAGGCTGACAACTCCATAACTATCACCTTGGATCTGCCCTTAGAGTATATTCCAGATTACCACTCCTTGGCACTGTGAACCTACCCACAACTTCCTGGTTAGTTACCATTGCAGGCAACGGTTACCTACAGAATAGAGATTTCACACAGCTGTATTATCCAGAAATCTCTCTCCCATTACCACAAGAGTTACTTTATTGGATACACTTAATGGCTCTCTGGATTTGCAGGTTTGAGAGTCTGAGATTTTAGCAAGAATATTCAGTCATAGATCCTCAGGTCATCAATTATCTTTGATGTGAAAAGCACAGTTTAAGCACAAGGGACTATAAAACATCAGTCCCCAAAATCACCTTTGCTACTAGGGAAATGTTCCCCAGGACCACACAAGCAGCCAAGATGCTTATGAAAAGCCCTGAAGTCAAACATAACTGTCTTGGGGAGAGGGATGCATTTTTCTTCAATGAAAATCTGTTAGAAGATTGCTTCTATAAAGGAAAAAGAGGTAAACTAGTGTTAAAGTATACTTTCTCTCTAAGTTTTAGTCCTATGTAATATAAGCAAATTGAAATGCATTTCCCCTATTGTCTTCAAGCTCCTTTACACCACTTCTTATTTCTTTTCTATTTTGCTAATAGAAAAGATGAGATATCCACAGAGGAGATATTAGGAGAGCCTGGTGAGACCCCTGTGTTTTCAACAGGTAAGCTTAGATCTCATTTCATCTGCTTCTGAACCTTAACTCAAATCACTAGGAAAGTATGTTATGTAAAAAGCAATCCTTAATTAAAGTTGAAAAATTTATAGTGTACTTTCTCAAAACTAACTCATATTTCTAACCTTATAAAATTATTTAAATGTGTTATATAAAACTTGGAAAATCTACAAAAGTATAAAAGTAAAACCAAATTGCCCATTATCCTATAACTGGGAGGCAATCATTACCCATATTTTCAAACAAACAAATCCAAGCTAAACACCTGTCTCTGCATCCTTTATATAGTCACAAAGAAAGAAATTAACCAGATCTCACTAGGCAAAAACCATTTAATTGCAATATCACTGAGAAAGCACCAAACTTGGTCCTAGAAAGGAAAAATGAAGACTGAGTTGGAAACAGTGGTATTAGTTATATTTTGCTCAAGAACATATTTATGTGATCTTAAAATAAAAATGGATTCCAGAATGACAGAAAAGCATGAAATTTTTAACTTTTTCTAATGTACACTTCTCTAGTCTCATTTCTGTGCCTGCTATTTTTCAAATTTCCACAGGTGTTGCCAGTGTCTCAGTCGGGCCCTTCCCTTTTGCTCCTGATGACACACTCCTCAATGACACCAAGATGCCTACAATCGTAAGAAGTTCTAAGAGTCAATCAAACTCCTCACATGCCCTTTTTTTAAATTAGTGAAATAGAATAAGAGAATAGATGGACTGGCCATTCAGTATTATTAGTGCTGCATTTTTATCACTCCAATGAAGAGTCAGTGACTTCGTTTTATTTAGTATTCTCACTTCATCCCAGGGACTGAGGACTAAAAATAGATGGAAAACTAGAGATAAGATGGGAGGAAGAAGCAACTAAAGAGTAAACTCCAAGAAGGCAGGCGCTCTTTTTCCCGAGTACGCAACAGAGCATTATATGTAGCAGGTGCTCACCAAGCTTTATAATTAATTATTTAATTAACCTGTCAATCAGTCAGGCTCTTTCTCCACTGAAGTACAATGTCATGCTGACAAGCAGAATAGAAGTTGTGTTCTCAGTCATGTTCAGCATGAATAGGTGAAATCAAAATGATTTCAATCCTGCATGTCAAGTGAGAAAAAATAAAAACAGTATTCACAGGTAAAGAGGAGCACTGGCAACTGCACTGAGTGAAAAAAGGCATGCAGGATGACAGAATTGTTACAGAATTTAATGTTGGTTATCAAAATGGGGAGACATTTCCAACCCTTCCAAAAAGCTTGGAGCCAGACTCTCAGGGCTGAAGCGGGAAACAGTCTCCTTACTCATGAGCATTGGAGTTGCAGCCACACAAGGTAGGCAGCAGACTCAGAAGGGACAGTAGATCCAAGTCAGGACCTGGATCCTCTCATTAGTGCACTGCCCCTGCAACCAGACCTACCATCCCCTGTGGTCTGTGAGACTTCTCTAGCCCTTTCCTCTCCCTGTGAACCCCCCTCTAAGGCACAGGGTGAAGGCCAGATGGTGAGGACAGGAAGTTCGGTCTCACCAGCTCTACATGAACATTCAGGGATGAGAATCTGGCTGGTCACTCTCTCCTTGGCCTTTAGGCCAGATGGCCACAGACTTGGTGGGACTATGCTCATGAACCAAGAATAAAAATGTTTTATTTTTCTCAAAATTAATATTCTGACAACAGTGAAAAGTGTTGTTGAAAAAAATTATTGAGATTAAACATATTCACTATGAAATTTCTAAGTCGGCTATGGTTTACCTTCACTTCTCTCACATTACCTGTGTCCCATCTTCTTTAATATTTAATTGAAGCCCTTCATTCTGCAATAAATATCTCCTGAATATTTTATTTCACACTCATGCCATCTGCCTCTTAAGATCTTTTTTACCAACTGAATCTATTATTTATTCTTTCATTTAGCAAACATTTAACTAAAATTCACTAGAAGATCCTGGATGAACAAGACACAGCTCCTACCCTTAACAAATTCATGATGCAGATAAATAAAGTACAACAAAACAGTCCAGGTGCCATGATTCAAGATGGCAGATGCGTGGACTAGGACAAATGACAGGCCTGGATAGGTCGCAAAGGATGTGACCCCAAGTCATGTATATTCATCAAGAGTTTTGTACATAAATTGACACATATTTTTTTTAATTTGGGAGTTTGTGAAGTGAGAGAAGCATGCTGAATTCAAGGAGATTATATGTGGTGTGACAAGATTAACATATTAAAAAAAAAAAGACTCTAGGGAATGTATCATAGGCACCAAACAAGCAATTCGGATGTCATTCACTGCTACAGGAGGTCAGAGGACAGGCAAAGATTTTTACCCTAGATAGTCAGAGAAGGTATTACTTTCCACAAACCATGAGACATTGGTAAGAAGTAAAAAAGGGTGTGTGCATGCTGGAGTTGGGCGTGGGGAGCAGTGAGGAGAGTCTTTAGTCAGGAGAGCAGACAGGCAATGTGATACCTCAGAATAGTGATCGAGCTTTCCACTGGCCCGGGCAGGAGGAAGGGAGACAGACTAAAGCAGTTCAAGCAGGTTGACATCAGATGGTGGGGAGTCTTGAATGTCAGATAAAAGAGTTTGGGTTTTATCCCACAGGTAGTTAGGGAGTCACTGAGGGTGCTGGGTGAGAGGCATGAAAAATTAATCTAGTGGTTAAGGGTAAGCTATGAAATTTTTCACTAATATAGCTAAAGAATTTATTTAAATGTCCCTTGTGAACTTCAGGTCTGCCTAATGAAGTGGTCAGCTTCTAGAGGATAATAGCATATGCCATACTCTCAATGTCCCATAGGTCGTAACACTGTGCTACACCCATACAGATGCTCGTGTGTATCATTTTATCATTTGAGTGAAAAATGAGCAAATTAATAAAAACCTCTCCATTAAGCAAACTTCAGTAACCTGGTGAGTGTGAATCCACATCCTCCATGTGTCCTGTTAAAGTTAGAGGTACTACCCAGGTGAGTGTTGCCTATCATAGCATTTTCCATGGTTATGTTGTCTCTCGGCTTCCACAACTCTAATATCACTGTGAGACACTGTGTTCATTACCAGACAAAGTTGATTTTCTGTAGAAATTTTTTTTACTCTTTTGAGAAAGCTATGCAGATCTCAGGGTCGTCTGGGTACCCAAACTGAAAATTTGTCAAACCCAAGTCTGAATCCCAGCTCCAGGTTTGCTCTGTGGCCTTGGAGCCCACGAGAACTGAGAACAGTGCAAGATTCCTGCTTATTTCCAAACCAAAGGACAAAAGGGATGACCACTGCCATGCTGTGATCAAAGGCCAAGTCCTGGTCCTCAGAACAGTACTGCTATTCTTAGTCGTGTTCCTCCAAAGGTGCCCCAAATATGCCATTCCTTCCGAGAGAAATTTCAAAGCCTTTCTTGACTTCACAGTACTTTCCAACAAGTTTCAGTATAAAATCAAGAACAAATGGTCTTATTAAACCAGTCTAGACTCTTCTCTAAAAAAGGGTTCTATCAAGTAATATCTCAGCATCCATAGGTTATTTTGTTTAATCTAATCCTCATCAGTGTTTATAAAGTTGCATGTGCACGTGGCACAATCCTAGTAAAGTTCCAGCAATATATATAAATCATGTGTGTGAGCAAATATGTACATGTAAATGCTTTCATGAAGAGCACACACTCATAACCTGTCAGTGTATCAAAGATTCTAAGTAGTTAATTCACTGGAGTTCTGATACTTTGTCTCTCAATGAACTTCATAGGCTACCTCTAGTTAATAGGACTTTTATTCTAAGACCACTAGAACCTTCATAATCCACTTCTTGAGACAAAAAAATCAATTTATGTTATAAAATAAAACCATTTGCTTGTGGTTTATAAACAGAAGACCTTTTTAACTTAGGAAGAAGAGAGAGAATTCTCCGCGGTAGCTGGGGGCCCACTGGAGCAGAAGGTGGGGCTGAGCGTCTCTCTGGCAGACCAGGAGTTCGAGGCAGGGCTCGCTGACTCCTAGTCCCCCCACTACCAGGAGCTGGTGTCAAAGTCTCACCTTCAGGTGAGTGAACACACCCCCCACGACCACAGCCCACATCTAGACTCACAGTCTGGGAGCAGACAAGAAATAAACCCTTCTGGCTAATAGTTTCAACCTCTTGTGACCAGGCATTCAGTTTTAGCCATTAAAAAAATCAAAAACTGCAGTGGATCCCAAAATTCTAGAAAAAGTAGATTTCCAGGAAAGTTTTCCATTCCAGCTTTTTCATCTTAAAAGTCATTTACATTTAGATTTTCTTAGAGTCACTAAGCAGATACTCTATATGTCTAAAATGTCCATGTAGACACCAGCTAGGGCACATGCTGGAGTGAAATATGAATGTTTAATCTGTAATACTCTGTCTTACATAATATTTCCATTTGTGCACTCTGATGCAGTTTAAAGCCATGACATTTTTAAGGCAGTCATGTTGTCCACACCATCCATCACTAAACTGTGGAGCTGTCCCAAGATGTGTCTTTCATCCTGACCGTCCCCCTATCTGCCTGTCCCCGATTAAATTAAACAGCTCGTCACTTCCTGCATGATAAATGCAAACTGCTATGCTGAATGCGGCACCTCTACACCATGAGAAGACCCCTGCCTTTCTTTCTAGCCTCATCTTAACACCAGTTCCTTACCATCCCCTTCTTTGCACTCTCCTTTCCAACAGTAAACTCTGCTTGCAACTGTTTCTTCACCGTGATTTACCTGTAATGCCTCCTCCGTCTGGAACACCTTTCCTTAATTTCACTTAACGAATGTCCTGAAAAATTCTCCCTACCCACCCTGAGTTCAGTGCCTCTCCTCTGGATTAACACCTGCTGCCCCTATTGTCGCAACACTGTTATTCTGTCTTAAGATTGTTTGTTTACATGTCTGTGGCCTTTCCCATCTCCATTCCTTCCTCTGTGCCCACCCACCACCCTCACTATGGGCAGGCGGTGAGCTTCCCCTTGAGGGCGGGGACTGCTTCTTTCAGCTCTGTAGCCTCACCGCCTAATACAGAGCTTGGGATGCAGTTACCACTCAGTGCCTGACTGCAGAAATGGACTGTAACATAGAAGCCCCCATGAGATTACATAACTATGAGCTACATTTATGGACAGCCCAAGCATCTTATGCGACAAGGTCGGGAAACAAGCAGGCCCCTACTTCTCCTTCCTGGAGAATTCAGTGCTCACCTCCTCTCAACTGGAGAAGAGGTGAGAGAAAAACACGTTTAACCTCCATCTTCTCCCTGCATCAGCAATCTGTCAGTAAAATGTAGAAAATCATTTCTAACAAACTGCAAAGAGAAAGCATCAGTATGAGGTACTTATGAACCAGAAAATACTTAGATATCGATTATTAGATAGAATGAATTTAAAAAATGATCTGGTATCTTTTCTATTTGTTTTTTGAAATATTCTCTTCAGCAAATTCTTACAGAGAGTGCTGACCACAGACTGCCTCCACTCACCTGCTGTTAATTTCCCAAGCGCCTAAAACAACCCGATGTGGAATAATGCAATTAAACTATAACTTTTTTTAAATCTTCAATGTAGTCTTGTTTCTGCCAAGAAATAGCCATTAGAGTTTGTGAATCACTTCCCTGACCTTAGATTTCTCATTTAGAAATTAAAAATGACCTCAAAGTCCCTTTCCAAGTCTAAAGCACTATGTATAGAAACAATACCACTGTACTGTCCTTAATGTTTTATATATATTAACTCATTTCATTTTCACAAAATCTTGTAAGTAATATCATTTCTATTTTTTACAAGCGAGGACACTGAGGCACAAGGAGGTGAATTCATATTCCCAACAATGTCACACCTGCTAACAGACAGAGCCGAGGTTCAGACCCGGCCAGCCTGGCGCCCAACCCCTGCTCTTAGCCCCTGTGCTATAATTCCTATTTTTCCCAAACATTTATCATTATCAAATAAACATGCCCCCTCCAGCCTCTGAGATATTTTTTAGCCAAAGAAAAGTATGCTTTTCTTGGTCTTGCTCCAGAGACCTATCACCCCAGTCCGGCCGGTTATCCCTCAGCATGGTCTCTGGCTTCTCAAAGATGACGCTCCTGTGCGTGGCACACCTGCTCCCCTCCCCCAGGCTCTCATGCAGTCCCGACGCCTCGAAGCCTGCCATCAAATAACCAACCAGCCCACCACGGCCCGACACTTGCATTAGCGCAGTCATTTGGACCTAATTGGGAATTAATGGACGGTGCTTTGCAGTAATTTAATTCCCACAATAAACTTAATGAGCAATTTAATACAGATGTCAAAAGGAATGCTCAGTTGTTGTCTGAATGTTTTCTCCTTTGCAAACATTCATGAGAACTCAACACAGCTGCCTTTTTATAGCCCTGTTAGCCTACACTTCAGCAGAATCAGGGAGGCTCCTGCGCATTTAGTGTTATTAATAAGGTTAACTGGACACTTAATTAGCAATTTAGTGGTTAGTGCCACATGATTGGAAGGTTCCCAGAAGATTATTTAGCAGAATTAACTGAAGGCCTTTGTCATCTCCTCCCTAGACACCTCCTGCATCCTCCTAAACAAAGCTGATTCTTAAATTCATCACAGACAGGCTCACAAAGAGGGCACAGACACAGCAGTAAATCCTGTCCGTCCACTGGAGCCACTGCCACAAGCATTCCTGGAGGACAGCACCCCCCCGCCCCTGGCGATGCACCCTACAGCCTATGCTAACAGCTGTGGCTTCTGTGGTAGCAGCTCTGTACTTGATTGATTGTCTTCGCATATATAACAGCATCTCTGGTACCCTGGACAAGAATGAGAGACAAGTCAGGACCTGAATCTTCTGCTCACTCTTAAACATTAAGTCCTAGGTGCAGTAACTGGATGGCATGACAAATGCCTTGCGACCCCAACAGTCACGGGAGGCCAGAGCAGGCCTGAAGCATGGGCACAGCTCTCTCCCACTGGTCCCCAGAATAAAGACCAGCTCTGCAGAACCTGATCTCTCTGTAGCTCATGGGGTGGTGGGGAGGAGCAGAGGCACAGAAACTCACTCCCCGGCCCCTTGCTGCTGACCCTATGGGGACCCTCACCTTGTCCTTCCCCACACTGAATCTTTCAAAAACAATTGGCTGGAAGCTTGCTCTGCGCTTGCCAGGTTCCACATAGTATGGCTACTGGGGAAGTAAAAGAAAATGGGGCTGTCAAGAGCTGATAATCCACTCAGAGAGATAGAGAATAGTAAATCAATAAAACAATATCGCTGACTCTCCCCCCACTGTATGTCAAGTACTTACTCATTATTCCTTACAGCAACCTTATGAGATAGGTGTTATTACCTCATTTTGGGTAAGGAGGCCAAGATTATTCAGAGAAATTAAGTAATAAACTCAAGGTCATACAACTAGAAAGTAGCAGAAGCAATACTCAAACTCAGGTTTATACATCTATCTCGCTATCACCCAAAAGCTGAGTTATCTTCATCACTGCAGTTACTATACACTCAGGGAACAAGACCTATATTAAAATGGATGCAAGAAAATATAATTTAGAAAGTAAATCAGTCTGCTGAGAAAAGAAATCCATGATACATGCCAAGCCCCAGTGTAAGCGATTTGGGGATTATCTGCACCTCACTGCTCTAGCCCTTGGCATAGATAATGTAGGTTGGCAGTAATTTCAGATGCACTGACAGTGCAGCGGCATGTTGATGAGTTCAGAGAACAAGACAGGCACCCAACTTGATCAAACAAAATGCACTGAGTCCCTATTATGTAAATAGCAGTTTGCTAGATACTGGGAAGTAAAGGTGAATAAGACATAATCCCTGAGCCCAAGTAGCATAATCCCTGTGAGGGAGACCACATGCACCTCGCAGACTGTTTTATGAAACATACAGCAATAAGTTCTAGACCAGTAGGGGGAAGAGAAAACTGAACCTGACTTTAGGGCCCTACAAACACTTTTCAACAGAGATGTTTGAGCTGGCTTTGAAAGATGGGCAGGGGAGGGGGGTGGGTAGCCAATGAGCAGAAAGTAGAAGTTGCATCTTGGACTAACAAGAAAAAAATTTATAGATGTTTGAAAGAAGTACATGTTGTATTTGGGGAGAGAAGGTGGTTAGTTTGATGTGACTTAAAGATACAATATGTTGGCCAAGGGGGTAAATGGCAGGAAGTGCAAATGGTAAGACACTTGGGGAGTGGAGAGGGTAGGTTGTCAAGGGTCTTAGATGCCATTCTAAAGTATTGGACTTCATTCAACAGGCAGTGCAGCACATCAAGGGATTTTTAGTGAAGAGCAGCAGATACAGAATGATTAACTTGGAAAAATACGGTAGTCAAGGGGACATCTCCCCAATTCCCCCCACCCTAACTCATCCAAAACGCATTTCTCTTCCACTCCTCCCACATACTCAGAAAACAATTTCAGTAAAATAGGAAGGCAGAGAGGGAGGATATGCTGGCCATGTGAATAAGAAGAATATGATGGGAACAAAAGGCATGTAGGATTCAAATGAACAGGACATAGGGACTGGATGTGAGGGGCACAGAGGGAAGGTGTCTCAGGAGGCTGGGCTCTCTGGTGTGGCAGGTGATGGGGGTCATAACCCTGACTGAGACAGAGCGCCCAGGAGGAAAGGTGGACTTGGGAGGAAGATAGTGACTTGGGTTTGGCATATTTAATTAGGGGCAAATATTGGGATATTCATGTAGAGAACTCAAAACTGTGTCTCAAGTGATCACTGGAGCCATGGGAGAAAATGAGATCCCCAGCAAGAGGCAGGGGGCAGTAGGCACAGGGAATGCAGGACAGGGCCAGGGTCACATCCCTGTTCACCTCTTCAGCCTCCCTCCCTTTCACCCTGCTTTCCCCCCTCCCCACTTCACTGCTAAACTACCACCTTTTCCTCTTGGGTTCGTTTGCCTCTTGTGCTTCTTACAAGTAAGTTGGATGGGCAGTGCCTGTCCATCTACATGGCAGTGTGTCCCGAGAGCCCAGCACAGAGGCCATGGAAGGACTTACTAAATGAATAGAAGAGTGAGTGAGATAAAGGGGCTGAGGACACAAACTCGCAGAATCCATACAGTGAAGACAGGAATAGGATACAGACTGAGAGAGTGGTCAGACAAATGGAGGGAGGACCAGAAAAAAAGGCAGGGAAAGCATGAAGAAAGAAATAAAAAATGTCCTTGGATTTGAAGAGAGCCAAGAGACAATGGCCTGGAGAGAACCATCCTTCCTTGGGAAGTCTAGGGGCAGAAGCCAGACTATAATGGGATGGGAAGTAATTGAGGATAACAGTTGTGAAATATTCTGATAAAATGCCTTGTTAGCAAGGTAAAATTAAGTAAAATTTATTGTAAAGTTTACATAAATCTAAGAGCCAATGTAATCTATTAGATTAGAATCTTCTTCTAACATTTTATTTAGGCACAGCAGCTATTTTGACTTTAATAATTCCTTTAACACTATAGATATTTCCAAATCATGTAATTCATTTCAGAAAATATTATAGCTACTCTTCATGTATAAATAAAAAACCCATAACCAAAAAACTTGTTCTAAGTACCATCTTAAAGTTATTTCATACTTTATGTAAAATAACCATTAAAGCAAATCAGAACTACCCAATTACAGATTTATAACCTTTAAATAAATAGCAAAACACTCTCCTCTAGGTTTCAGAAATAACTAAGAATAAACCTGGCCTCAATCACTGCATCTATTTTCTGTTTTTTTTCCCTAACTCATCAAAAGTATTTTGGCTCTTACAGTTAGATAAGATCCTACCCAGTTGAATCAAGAGTATTTCATAATTTTTTTTCTCTCTACAGATGCGAAAGGTATTTAAGAAACTTCCAGGATTCAAAGAAATTCATGTGTTAGGATTTGGGTAAGAGAATTGGACCCTTCTCAATTTTTACATTACTTTCTTTCCATCCTCTTTTAAAAATGATGTCATGCAGATTATAAAGCCCCTTTTCCCCCAATTATTTAGCTCTGCCAAATCCCAGAAGCAGAATACATCTCAGATAAGGGAATTGTTTCCTTAGAACATAACTCCAGGTGATTTCTGAAGGGCACCACAGGGGCTGTATGCCGTCCTCCCTGCAGGGTCAGGAGCACAGCGCTCTCACAGAGTTCATCGCTGTCCTTGGCCGTGTTATTAGCAAACCTCTTTAAAAAATACCTCAGCATAAATAAATAAAAACATGAGCAATTAGTTAGTTACCTTGGTGTCTGATTGCCTAGTTTCCTGTCAATGCTAAATGTCTTCATTGCTTAGGTAAGTCAAGTTGACCCTAAAGAGCCAGGTGTAACTACAGGGTTGAGGGGTGGGAGGAGTGGGGTGGACAGAGGCAATGATATCAAACCATAGTAATATGTTACCACAGAACAGCTATTGAATGAAAATTTGAAAAAAAGAAATGAAACAATCAAACAGTGCCACACTACAGCAGGGTTTGACCATGTTTTCTTAGCAGGTCTATATCCTCCAGCATCTCAACATTCTAATAATGTACATTCATAATTTTGGCAATAATTTTTGCATCTTTAAGTTCTCATTATTCAAATCATCTGCAAGTAGGATCATAATATATTTTTCAATGCTCTATGGGGTAGGCATCGGCCCTGGTATGACAGAGTGAGATCCCTCACCCCGAGGGGGTTTTGTCCAGCGGCTGAAGCGGGAGTCCTTCCCGGGCTTTTGCTGTCTGGCGTCTGGCGGCAGAAAGGCACGCAGAGCCAGGGCTCCACCCTCGCAGAGGTCGCTTCCCGGGGGGTTGGGGAACGCCCAGTTTACTTTTCTTGAAGCTACCAGGCCTCTTTGATTTGTATAATTCTGGAGAAAGGAAACATGGGAAAGTGAAAGTTATAGAAGATGAAACCCTTAATATTAACCAAAACAGACTCATTTTTCTTTGTTTCAAGATGCTGCTCCACAGTATTTCATGTGAAATCAGATGGATTAGAGAGAAATAAAAGATGATAGGAGAATATTCTGCACAGATGGCAAGGTCTTCTGGATAAACCACTGCAGCTAAAGAACAAATTGTTCATTTAAAGCTGAAGGAAATGATAGGAACAGGGTTTTTTGGTGAATGTTCAATTGCTCATTATTCCCTCCTTTCAAACAAATGGGAAACGAAAACTAAAAAATACATATTACAGAAGAAAATTAAAATGTTAGGTTGATTAAATCTTCTAAGGTAAAAATTTCAAAGATATATCTCTTGAAGCTGCAATTTTTTTTCATGTGTTTATCTCTGCAAGAATTTGTTCTTATTTCTGCCAAGGATGCTTTAAAGTAAATTTGATTACATTTTCACAATGACTTCTATTATGTAATAAACAATTTAGTCTCCCCAAAAAATGTGACCCAAATACAATAAATGATATGCTATATCACAAACTTTTAATCGTTAAGAACAATGCTGAGAATATTGCAAAGCAAGCTCACTATAAAGGAAATTGTTTTCTCATAAGGCAGACTCCACAAAAGACCTAAAATCTTATGTGTCTCCTGGTACTGCCTTTTTCTCAGCTCATTTGTATAACACCTGATCTACAATTTAATAAGTACTTTTATATCAGTGACCTCATTTGACTCTCTCAACACAACTGGAAAGTAGTTAGGACATCTATTATTAATACAGTTATAAGGATGATCAGTGAAAGATTCAATTTAAATATTTCTTTATCTCTTAAAATACATTATGGGAAACTATTAACAATCATTCAATCTAGGTGGAGGGTATACTCCCTCAAAGACTTGTACACAAATGTCCACAGCAGCTTTATTTTTAATATCCAAGAATGGGAAATAACCCAAATGTCCATCAACAGAGCAATAAATAAACAAATTGTGGCATATTCTTACCATAAACTATTACTCAGCAAAGGAACTACTGGAATACACAACATGGATTTGCCTCAAAATAATTAAGTGAAAGATATCAGGCAAAAGGAAGTACACTATGATTTCACTTACATTTAACTCTTAAAAATGCAAACTAATCTATAGTGACAGAAAACAGATCGGTAGTGATGAGACAGGGAAGGGTGGGAGGGAAGGGTTACACAGGGGTGTGAGTGAGCCTTTGGGTGATGAAATGTGCTATCTTGATTGCCACAATTGTCTCACTTGTGTATAGTAGTGTCAAACTTAAAATTGTATGCCTTCAACATGTGATGTCTGTTTCATTATAATTATACTTCAATAAAGCAATTTTAACTTTTATTTATTGATTTTAGAGAGAGGAAAAGAGAGAGAGAGAGAGAAATAGAAAGAGAGAAACATTGATCTGTTATCTCACTTATATATGCATTCACTCGTTGATTCTTGCATATGCCCTGACTGAGGATCAAACCCACAACCTTAGCACATGGGAGGACATTCCAACCAACTGAGCTACCCATCCAGGGTCTCAATAAAGCAATTTTTAAAAATGAGCAGGACTAGGATCTTGGCACAGGAAGCCTAGCCTCTCTCAGGAGTGTTATGGATTACAAACTATGGCTGAAAAGCAAACAAGAGGCCAGCCCTGGATCAACATCTGGTTAGTACAGAAGAAAGTCTCTCCCCTCAGATCATCCCAGTGAGATAGTTGAGATTCTGTCTTGTGTCCACAGAAGGAAAGTCATGGCAGAGTCCATTCAGTCATGTTCCGTCAAGGAGGAAAGTGAGATGAAAGCAACATGAAACCCCATCACTTGTAGGGTGTCTTTGTTGGCAACTCTCATCTGCAATGAATATAGCTTCTAAATTAAATTCATTCATATATATCCAGAAAATTCCAAAATGTATTTGTCAGTGTGGTGACAAAATGGCCTGTTTTCCAGGCATGAGCTGGCAGTGGTGTGGCCAACTAAGCGCAGGCCGAGGTTAGGCGGGCCGAGGTTAGGTGGGCCGAGGTCAGGCGGGCCAGGATCTGAATCCTGGCTCTGCAGCTTGCCAACTGACAGCACTCCCTCTCTCTGCCTTCTCTCTCCTCTGTGAAATGGGGACTGATTGTGCTGTTGAAGAGGTTAAATGAGGATGCCTGTGAACTGCCTGACGCAGACCACCTACTCTGTTAACAGGTGTTTATTTTTCTTGCAATCAATTCCTGGTGAATTGTACCATTCTCTCAAGGCTTACTGATTACAGCAATTCAAAAAATAACCAGTCAACAAAACAACAGCCCCAGCATCCAGCCTCAGATATATTACCCTCAGAATTTAATCATTTAATGCTATTAACAGGCAAGAAATTCACTCATAAAATATGTTTTAAAAACTTCCTGGCACTAGCACAACCCAAAATGTTAGATGTAGAGGATGTATTTGCTGTTTCTTTAGGACGAATATGAGGAACTCAAAAAGTTTAAGACTAAAAGTACAGATAACCTTTGAACTAAAGTTGAAATTTTAATGAGAAACATCATATAATTATGTTTACTTTCTGAGACTTATATAGCTCTTAAAATTTCCATCCAAATTCTGATGATAGTTTGTATGTTTCCATCAAAGTTCTGGGCAAATATGAAAGATAATGGAAAGAATTTTTTTTTGGTATATGAAGTAATACATTGAATGTCTCAATAAACTTCATAAAAATTCTTTCTTCCTTGCATGTTACCATTGTGCATGATGAAAAGAAGACCCAAGAAGGAAAGAGATGGGTAATTTGGACTTTTCTTTTAACATTTTAAAATATAGTGTATTTTCCCCCATAAATTTATATGCTGATCTTTTACAAATAATTTTTACATATAAAGTCTGAGATAATGCAACAAACTTTTAATGGTTTCCTATTTAAGTGGAAATAACTACCCTATTATTTAGTAGTACGGAAAAAACTCTGGGTCGAAATCACTGCCTGAGATAAATAGATAAACAATGATTTGTTCTGCAGAAGAGTATCTATAAAACTCAAAATCTAACTAGAAAAACATAAAAGCACATAGCTGTGATGCAAGAATGCTTTCACAAAAACGTCATTTATGATGGGAAGTTGTCTGCCTGAATGTATACTCATACATGCAGCCAACCTGTCTTGGTTAAAGCAGAAAAACTAATTTGTTTCTTGGTTTCAAGGTTAATTTGACTTGGGAAACGGCAGACTGTACCTCAGAAAGCTCAGTAATAAGAATCCAGCTTTGATTTCTATAATTGACTAGAGAAACAATGAACTATAAACTTTGATTGTACAGCCCAAAGAACTGCCAAGGACACACATCATTGGTTCCTGTGGACTTTGAAGCACTTTGCATCCCTCTGTATGGATTCAATGGCATACACAAGAAAGTAAAACCTGATCCTAGAAGACATAGCTGCAGAGAATTCTATTGTGTTTTATCATGCAAAAAGTCATTGAGTCATTAATTATGATAATGAATAATGTTAATCATATGTTCCTTCCCTTTCTCTTTTATCACCCCTTCCAAGATGTTATTTTTAAAGCAGCTTGGTAAAAATATTGTTATGTTTAATTTAGGGATTTTTTTAAATTTAAAAATACTTCTTGAAAAAGCAGAAGAGAAATAGCCCTAAGAACTGAAGCTTTGAACTGGTAACAACATGAACACACTACTGTGGCCTCACTGCTATGTCCTACATTGCTACTTCACAAACTATTTTAAAGGGAGCTATTTGTAGAAAACAGGACGGTTCATCCTTCTTGCTGATAGGCACTGCATGACTTTACATATAAGGCAATCAAAAACACTGGTCAATAACAGCAACTCTTGACAATTAACACTTTTTCACAAAAACCTAAAGTAAAAATCTAAAGTCACTTGACTCAGTTAGTAGTGCCTCTTCAAGGCAAACTTAACTCCCCTCCTGACATTCTGTTTCAGAACTAAAATATACATCTATTCTTAGTCACATTTCAAATTTTTGATGAACATTGCAATTTTGAAGTGGGACATTCTTTGCCCATCAGGAAAGAGGTTGAAGCTGTCCTGCAGCTTTGTAACATCATAGTAACTCTCTTTCCAAGGCACATTAACAGTGGCTCTGAGTATGATGTGTCCTCTGCTTCTGCAGTTCCAGCTCCATAGAGATGTGACTTATGGCCACCTTTACGAGAGACAGTGCAGAAGCAAAAAGTCCTGCAAGTGACCTGCTGTTTTCTGATTCTAACAAAATTGAAAGTGAAAGAGTCCTTCATGGGATGATGGAGGAGGACAAGCAACCACAAACCTACCTCACAGCTTTAGACCTCAAAAAGCTGATCAGCAGAGCACTACAGGAAGACAAATCTTTACATCTGGGCACAGTTCAGTTTACTGATGGTCAGTTGGTAACTTCATAGTTCTGGGTTTATCCTCATTCTAAAAGACAGACTATAAGTTGTGAATGCCTCATGGTCACTGTCATTTTAATTGGGCCTTGTAGAGGCAATCATTGCTGTGACAGGTACATCATGGATAGTATCATTTCTGTCTTTCCTCAATCCAACCTGTATGTCATTTGATGAACCTTTATGACAACTTTGCACCAAGAATAGCTCTAGCAGAAGCCAAGAATTTCAGTTAAGTCCAGCTGAACCACAGTTATGCAGTAAAACCCAGGAAAAGAGAACTCCTGGGCGATTTTCTTCCCCTGGCAAAACCCAGATTCCCTAGTCTAGTAAATTGGTCAAGTCTCAAAAAGAAAGAGATGGCACATTCAAATTACAATAATTTAAGACAAGTTTGATAAAGAGACTATTTATAAAGGTTTCCATAATGCCTGAAGAAAGAGGACAGTTCCCTGGGGCTAGCAGCAGCAAGATCCCATCACTGCTCTAGGCCTGAAGGGTTGCCTAAAACACCAAGCCATCCCAAAGACAGGCTAGCAATCACTGATATAGTCCATACAAGTCAACTTCCTGGGGCAGAAAGCAGTGGGGAGAGAAGAGGAGAGTGGATCTAAAGAAGTCAACGAGATAATCAGGCACATTCAAAATCTTCAGTGGATGTCTAGAATGGAACTCCTTAGTAAGTCCAGTACTCCTGGCTAAATAGATGAACAACAGAAATGGCAATTTAGTATGACATGGCATGAAACTGACATTCTCTGCCAGTTCTGTCTCTCTGGTTTAGATGGTCAAATTTGACACTGAGAAACTCCACAAAGATCTCTTGGTACTGTATGCAGCAGGGCAACAGAATCTACTGGGCAAGAAAAGGTGAACTTCAGACTCATCTCAGAGACCCTCTGGTACTCTGGGTTCATCTTCTTGTTGAACTCCCTGGGGTGTTCTGAGAATCAGGCTTTGAGTTGAAAGGAGGACTCTGCAAATGATTCCGAGTTCCAGTGTTTATCCCAGCTGTTTCCTTCTATGTCAGCTCAGTAGTTTTTCATCCTTACTAGCTTTGCCAATCAGCCTGTCTACTTAGTCCAAATCTGTACAGTAAAACTAAACACCCTAAAAACCCACCTTAATTACTGTTCTCATCACATAAACATGCAAGATACATGCCTTGCATCTGTCTTTCAATTTACCGTTCAGATCAATGACTATTAGCTTATGTGACACTGACTTCTTAATGTCTGTTACACCACTCCTTAAGAACTTATTATTGCTACATTTTCAGCCCTAACTGCTTTCCTGTCCCAAGCACAAAAGAAAAAGGGAAAATAAAGAAACACCCAAACCTTGTGATTTTTCATCCACAGAAATTGTTGGGTCATCGCCTGGCTCTGATCCCAGTGCCCAGTCAATGATGCCTGCTCTCTTGGCTGATATCACAAAGGTGAGTTTGTTGTTCTTTTGTTCCTCAAATAAAAACAAAGCCTCAAAAAACTTCCACCAAAAAAACAACTTAAAGACTGAACAGAGCAAACTCTCCTCTACAGCACTAGTTACTGCTTTTTACAGGCAGACTTGTTTACCCGCTTTCAGTGTCAGTATTCGTCAAATATAAAATAACTTGCATTTCAAATATCCTAAAATTCAAAGTTTCCTTACATGTAGTCAGATCTTTGTTTCAATTAAAGATTTTCTCTGTTTTTGATAAAATAAAAACATGTTCATGGACTGAAAGGAAACTTAATGCAGAATATATTATTTAAATTTGACTTCCAAAAGTAAATATAAACATAAACATAATTTGTAAGTTCATTCTTAAGTATTAATGTCTTATCTATATATTCGGGGGTCTCATAAGTATAATATCTTACAAAGTAAAAATAATAAATTTAGTGACAGATTTTATATTTCATTCCAAGTTATGTTCATCTAATTTATGCCAAAAGTTGTCACTGGGGTATTCATAAATGGAAGTGCCAACTAAGCTCTATTTCCTTTGTAAATAAACATTCATAAATTCAAACATGATTGATGTAATTCAAAGTATTTCTATTATGAGTTAACCCTGCACAGACAGACTCAATTAGCCAAGGAGCCAATAGCTGGTATTTTACCACTATATCAATGCATGCATTCTGTTCAGGACACATTTCTCTACCAGAACCTATATCAAAATCCATAGTAGATTCAAATTAACTAAAACGATATGCTTAAATGTAAATGAAAAGAAAAATATATGTTACAGCCCTTCTCATACACAGAAAAATGACACTTCTCAACATCTGTCTTTCTGTGTTCATTCTTTAGGATGCTACTTTGAGTCCAGAACTTCCTCTTGGTCAGCCCAGGCTTGGTACAGTGGACAGAGAAGGACACAGTTTACCTGGTGAGTTTTTTCTTCCCTCAAAGTCTATGCTAGATAACAACATCCTCTCAAGGAAACAACTTATGACACTCCTCAAAGACCAGTCCTCCTTTACCCAGGAGAAGGTTTTCTCACACCAGCATTGCCAACAGAAAACAGTCCACTGAACCACTCTCTTCTGAAGAGGAGTACACTCTCTGTGTCCTTCCCTCAGCTCCGGTCCCCAGGGTCACAGAGAGCACTCACAGCCCCTCCTGGTGGACCTGAGAAAGAAGCTCCAATGAAAGGAGCTCCAACCGCTGCCCACATAGAACATCCATCTCTACTGGGCTTCCAAGCTGAGAGCGCACCAGGACAAGGGAGGTCGTAAGGCCCACATCCACAATGAGGGACTATGGCAACAGGGGATTAGGCCTTTACAGTCAGTTGATGTGTTCCCATCTGCCATGTACTGGCTGGCCACTCATTGATACTGCCTGTGTTTCCATGTGTGTTCCGTTAGTATTAATTAGGTCATGTATAATCGATCGATAACGGTGCCAGTGAACATAGAAGTCCTCCTGGTTTACTTTTGAATTTCCAAAAAATGTTTATTTTAAGGCAATAGGGTCAAACAGTCTTATTATTAAAGAGAAATCTTTGGTAATATATGAAGATCTTACCAAAAAAATACTGAAAATTCTGAAAAAGAGTCTATTTAGTACAAGTAGCTGATTTAGTGGCTTCAAGAACTCCTTTGGTTTCCATCCCCTATGACTCTCTGGTGAAACTATTAGTAAAACTGTCTTTAAGGAAACATGAACCCCAGGATACAAGGTGGATGAGGATACATTGTGATTCTAAGTGCAAATGCCAGTGGAGACTTTTTATGGCTGATGTTTTTAATAGAATTGTTACTGCTTTACTTAGGGTCCTTCCTTTAAAATTCAACAGGTTTTGAGTGGTCCATCTCAATCCTAGTTTCCTCATAAACTCTGTGCACAATTGGTATGAAATTTTATGGAATACTAGGTTTTTCACAAAAACATATAAGGCATGTTAGCAGAGCCACTTATAACGATTATATTTGGCTTACATGATTACCAGTGAATAAATGTTAACCAACATGTATTACAAACCAACCCTGAAGTTAGCGGCTTAAAACAACAATAATTTATTTTTTCCATAAATCAGAAAATTGGACAAGGATCAATGGGGACAGCTCTTCTCTGCCCCATGTCATGTAAGCTAGAGTATCTCAACTGATGTTAAAGATCTTTTTCCAAGACAGTCCACTTACGTGGCTGTCAAATCAGTGCTCAACCAGAGCTCTTAGCTGGCATGTCATTTCTGTGCTATTTAGGCCTCTCCAAGGCCTTCCTCAGGGCACGACAGCTGGATGCAGGGAGTCAGGACTGCCAGAGACAGACAGTGGAAGGGCCAAGAAACAGGGTCACTTCCTTACTTTCTAATGGTGAGGTGGCCATGGAGGCAACGTGGGGTTCAAAAGGAGAGAACAGAGAATTTACCTCTTGCTGGGAGAGGTATCAAAGAAATTATGGTCACTTATTATCAATCACAGTCTACATCAACCACTATTTTGACTTTTAAATCATAATAGTTAGTTGAATAAAACAAAACTAATCTTTTGGTGTAATGATTGATATTAAATACTCACTGGATATCATAATGATATATTATAAAACATTATTATAAGATCAGCATTTCAGGCAGATTAATAAAAATAATAGCATAACTATGATGAAAGTATTCTTGTATTTTCAAAATTGCTTTACTGTTCTGATTTTATTTATCCATTCCTTCCTGAATATACCATAGATACAATCCAGTCAAACATGTTTCACAGATAAGAAAACCAGGTGTAGACACGAAGTGCCTTATCCAGGCCACACTACAGCTGTTTGCAAACCAGGACCACCATTCACGTTTCCTCCACTTATTATACTCTGTTTCACTTAAGTAGCTGCATCATTAAAAGGTATATATTCCCTCAAACTTGCTTTGCCCTCAAACCCAGCCTCTTCTTTCTCTATTTCATTATCCTGTCTTTTTTTTTTTATAGCCTAGTCTTCTGGGTCTTTACCATCTTACCTCCTAATCACCACAAGGTTTCACTTCTAATCACAGATTACAGAGACCCAATTTTTACAAATGGCTTCCTAATTAATCAATTTAACAACCTCATTTCCATCTGTATTTTACTTGATCTTTCTGGTGTGTAGCTCTTGTTAACCACTCCCTTCTTGACACTCTTCAATTTAGTTCTCATAAAATGACTTCTTCTTGGTTCTTCCATTCTCTGACTGCTCCTCCTTAATCTCCTGCCCTGGGACTTGTCACTAGGTTTTTAAAAATAATTTGTTTATTAAAATCTTACCTCATTTCAAAATAAAAATTGTGATGATTTATATGCATGCATAATATACAATAAGATCTTTTATTTTTAAGAATTCAAAGAAAATAGCCCTGGTCAGTGTGGCTCAGTTGATTGGGCATCATTCTGCAAACCAAAAGCTCTCAGGTTTGATTCCTAGTCAGAGCACATGCCTGGGTTGAAGGTTCGATCCCTGGTTGAGGCAACCAATCGATGCTTCTCTCCTTCTCTTTGCCCCACCTTCCCCTCTCTCTAGAATCAATAAAAGAAAAAAATTGTTTTTACACTATTATTTATTTATTTTTAGAGAGCTGGGAAGGGAGAGAAAAAGAGAGGGAGAGAAACATCAATGTGTGAAATACATTGACTGGTTTCCTCTCACACACACGCCCAACTGGGGACTTGGCCCACAACCCAGGTATGTGCCCTGACCAGGAATGGAACTGGCAACCCTTTGGTTCTCAGGCTGATGTTCAACCCACTGAGCCACATCATCCAGGGCAAAAAAGGAAAATTATTTTAAAGACTTGAAAGAAAATGGGGGGTGGTGGGCTGAGGTGGGAGTAAAAGACAGAAAACTATACTCGAACAACAATTAACATTTTTTAAAAATGTTAAAAAAAGAAAATGGAAGAAAAAAAGAACAAAAATAAGTTAGATGACTTAAAGTAATGAAAAAGTTTTAGAGCTACATATAGATGGTAATTGTGAAACACTGTGAATTTACTACCTTACAATTACTCAATAGGTGACTTTAAAATGGCTAATTTTATGTTATGTTTCATCTCGATACGTCTTTGTAAAAATCAGATAGCTCGGTAGGGAAACTCATGTACAAAATAACCATAAAGCTCTTTAAATTTGCTTTAGGTGGTTCATGAATTTGGCTTTGAGCTTCTTAGCAGACTGTGCAGTGAGGAAAATAGGAGTCGTGTAATTTAGAATCTGCATGCTTTCAATGGGGTAATTTCATAGGAGAAAGAATTCTCCTGTGAGTCCTCATATGGAGGAGAGTCTGGGTTATGGTGAACCATGTCCCTCCCGCCTGCATCAACCTCCCTACTGTAGAAAATCAGTGCCAGGTGTTTCCTCTAAGGCACTCACTAGAAATGCATAATGAACTCCAGAGCCCAGTTTAGAGCAGTTCTCCGAGGGGCTACGTTTTGGCAGTCCACCTTAATTCAAGGATTGATTTTAGAGTATCTAGAGGAATGAATGTGCTGCATAACCTCCAGTCAATGCTCTATAAATAAATATTGTATCTCATAACTGAGTTTTTGATTAGTATTGACCAAGAAGCACTGTATTTGCTGACATGAGCCTGGTGTGCAAATATTCTGTTGCCAATTAAAGGCAGATTCATACGCTTTCATAATCAGCCCAGCTGGGGTTAGAAATGAGATATTTTAGTGAAAAATGAAGACCCTAACTAGGAAAAATTTTTGATAAAAAGACCCTCCATTTATATACATGGAAATGGGAGAGGGGAGAGCACCATAGACAAGACTGAGCTTCCCTCCCATATACTCAGTCTGGGGCTTTCCCACGCACAGGGAGAGGACAGACAGGACTCCAAAGTTCTGCACCATGGAATCACTGAGATAATTTTAGCCTGGAAACTTTTTAAGGTTACTGTCACCAAACACCCACCAAGCCATTAAGAGCTCAGTAAAGTACTCACATAAATCTCTGAGCTTAAGTAGTTTAATGTAGTAGCTAATCCTCTGAGAAAAAGTACTTGTAAAATATGCCTCTAGAACACTAAATGAATTGGTACCTTGTACAGAATTCTGAGGTCTTCTATAATTAATATTTTAGGGAAGTTTGTCCCAAGCCATTCTTTCTTGCAGAGCCAGTTATCTATTAAAATTACTCCTATTTCATATAAATGAGAGTTATAAACATATAGGAGAAACTCAATATTCTGTCCTCCACATAACGTGCATCCAATTTGTTCAAAAATAGTATGAAATCATTAGGATAGAAATGTTTTGTTTTGTTTTGATTCAGTTTGGTTTGGTTTAGGTGTGTGTAGACAACAGCACATTTTTCTTTTTGCTCATTAGATGATCATCTGATGTATCAAAAGAGAAGCTCTTTAGTGTCCTTCCTCCCAAATTACAGACTTTTTCACTTGCTAGACATCCTGTTTAAGATGTCAGCCTTAAAGAATTGCAATATTTTAAGTGGAGAAGAAGCAAACCTTGGCAGAACTATTCTGCTGTCCAACATTGTTTTGTCTTTGATTTTCCTGTGTTAGTTTGGGTTCCCCAGAGAAATAGGACCCACAGATTTACACATATATAAAGAGATTTAAGATAGGGAATTGGTTCACATGGTTAGGGAGGCTGAGGCATCCCAAGATCTTCAGTCAGCAATCTGGAGACTCAGGAGAGCCCATTTTGTCCTTTCGAATTCAGTCCAAGTTCTAGTTCAAAGTCAGGAGAAGATCAAGTCCCAGCTCAAAGACAAAGTCAGACAAAGATTCCCAGTAAGACAAAGAGAGTGAATTTGCCCTTACTCATCCTTTTTTGTCCTATTTGGGCCTCCAACAGACTAGATGAGGACCATCCACACAGAGGAAGGCAATCTACTTGACTCAGTCTACCCATTCAAATGTTAATCTCATCCAGAAGCACCCCCACAG